GAGTATTTCAACCTTTCAAGGTAGTCCATAAATCAGATATACCTGCAGACAAGCTGGTTTAATTTATTTGAAGATCATATCTTTAGGATGATATTTTATTAGTTGGTCGTAGGATCTGTGCTGTAGGAAGTACTATGTGTCACACTGGAGACCCAATTGTTTTAACTTTTCTAAATGTTTGCATTGGAGAGAGAGTTACAACTTTCTTGTTGATCCAGTTTCATCGCCTGCACATTTACAGTATCTTGCACTTGGGGAAAGAGTAATGCGTCACCTTTCCATTCTATACATATTTCCAGTACAGCATAATTAACACCTGTGGGAACCAAATGGGTATAGTAATCTGCATTAGGTAATACTTTAGAGCTTCTCTCTTGCCACTTCAGTTGAGATCAGAGGTTGGAGGATTTAACTCTAAGCTAACAGTAAAGGAATGAGGTGTGATAGTAGCAACTGAAATAGTTCTCCAATCCAAAATATATAGTCACAGGCTCACTATTGGGACAAAACGGACTAGGTTGAGGGTGATGCAAATGTTTATCATTGTCTATCCCAGTGCTTGCAAAAAAAATGAATTTGATTCTAATGTTTTTTTGCTAGGAGGGCAGAGAATCTAGCAAAGTTGTCATCGAACAATGTATTATGTTGTTTATAGGAGATGGCAATTCATATAAGTCCCAAACAAGTGCTGCTGAGTGCTCCTTTGAACAGCCCTCACATTTATACGGAATGGCAAACTGAATTGATTCCCCCCCCCGGGTCTTTATATAATCTATATACTAATACCGAAGTCGCCCCCTGGTGTGCGGATAGCTAAATCCGCACACCGGGGGCACCCGGGGGGGAGGGAGAGTTTTGTGCACACGTGGGGCAGCCCCCAGGTGTGCACAAAAATCTTAAAAGTTTTTTAAAATATCGGGGGGATACTTAAATCCCCCCAAAAGTGACAGAGCGTTCCCTGCGCATGCGCAGGGAACGCTCTGCAGCAGCCGCTGCCGCCTCGGAGCGGGGGGGAGGCGGCGAGGCCCGGTGGCTACAAGCCTTGCGGGCTTCGCTTTGGAGCGAGTGGGGGGGAGCCGACGAGGCCCGGCAGTCACAAGCCGCGCGGGCCTCGCTTTGGAGCGAGCG